TAAATGAAGTTGGATTTTTAGAAGTAGCTTGATTTTTAAGTGTGGGTATCTCTTAATGCATACAAATTGCCTAGGTATTTAGCAGCTCAAACTATCTGAGAGTTTCTGGGAATCAGGAACCCAGGTGTGGCTCCGCATGTGGTGCAGGCTGTCTCACAAGGCTGCAGTCAAGGTGGGGTGGGGGGTGGGGGTGAGGTCACGGTCTCCAGATGAGCTGCCTCCAAGCTAACTCGCGTGGCTGTTGGCCGGAGAGGGCTGGCTGCTGGCTGGAGACTTCAGCCCCTTGCCACATGCCTGGTGAGCAAGGGGAGAGGCAGAGGGGCACCCAGAATAGAAGCCACCAAGTGGTAGCAGGATACTTTTACTGTCTCTCTTCACGGGGAGTCACTGGCTCCAGCCTGTATTCAGAAGCAAGGGATTACATATGGGCATGACAACCAGGAGGTGGCCATTACGGGGGACCGTTGTCCTTGTCCTCTCCTTAAGGTCTTCGGACTTAGCTGTGAATAGTGGTTACCAAAGGCTGTGCTGCGAGACCCCAACAGCGGTCTCCTTTCTCCCCCTCCAAAGTCAGTCTTGGGGAATGTCCCCAGTGTACACATTTCCACTATGCATAATTGGAAACCGGACAGAGTGAGGTTATAAAACTGAAACAGCAAGACTGATACATGCAGAGCGTTTGTCATCCTGTGGAGGGAAGGCTCTGGCTCACTGAGCCCCTGACGGTTAACTGGGGACAGGATAGACAGGTGACGGCATGGAGCCATCGTGAGGCCGCGATGCTTCCTAATGATTGTGCAGGCTTGGGGACTAGACTCCCCGGCTCAATCCTCAGCCTGGTTACTTACCTGCGCTTCCTGGTTTTTCGTGTGTAGAGAGAGAGTAATAACAGTCCCTGTGAAAGGGGCATGGTAATCATGTGGTCAGTGTGCATGGAGTGCACACGTCAGGGCTTGACCCATAGCAAGCACATTTTTGTAAGCTATTATGAGACACATTCACAGCGGATAAGTCACTGTGAATGCTCGTTAAAGTGAATTCTACTTGAGTTTTTCCCCCAGAAATACTCAGGAATGGGTAATTTTGCTGCACAATACTAATGAACATGGACAAAACCCCTAGGGTAGGGCTGAAAAGAAAGAAATGTTCCAGTTGTTTAGGTGTGTATTTTGTTTACGGTTGTGTAAATGTCAATTGTGATGTTTTTATTTAAATGTCCATTGTGGTGTGTTTCTGCTGCCGGGCAGGCTGCACACTTGGATAGCCTGCTTCTCTTTCTGGATGCCCTCATGTCTTTTCCATTCCATTTCATTCATTTATGCACTTTTCGTGATTCTCGTGGGTCTGAGCACCCCCTGTGCACGGGGCCCTGGAGACAGCAGAGGTGGTCACAGGCATCTGTACTGATGCGTGCGACGCTGAATGAGAAGTGACCTGGAAGAGGCACCAGGGGGTGAAATGCACCTGTTTGGGAGGCTGTGGACATGGGCGATGAGCCAGAGGAGGACACACGTAAGCCGTGTGGCAAGATGCTTGGTGGAGGAAGGATGGCAAGGTGTTGCGGTCGGAGGGAGGGGTGCGGGCGAAGCCTGCAGGCAGGAAGCAGCATATGGAGGGTGATTGCTCTTTAGCTGGGCAGCGGCGCAGCACACAGGGTGTGAACTGAGGCACGGAGCCGCGGGCCTAGGCAGGAGCTGGGCTTGCAGCCTGGAACTGAGGGTGAGAACCGGCACAGAACTGACATCTCAGAGTGACAGCCAGTGTCTTCTGATCCCTTCCTTGCAAGGTGCACCCGGTCTGGCCCCATGCAGGACTCTGCTGGCACACTGGCGCCCTGTGGGACACTGTGGGGCGGGTCACCCAGGCTGCGCCTGCTTCTGCTCCAAGTCCCCGCCCTGGCACCCTCTCCCACGGAAGACTCGGTCAGCTGGCTCACCTGCTGGTGGTTGACCTTGTGTTTGTTGTTCCTCATACGTCTCCTCACCAAAATGTGAGTTCCCAAAGGCAGAGGAGGATCTTTGGGGGTCCCGGCACATAGTACACGCTCAATAAATATTTGTTAGCTGAATGAATAACCAAATATCTTTGAATTGTTTTTAAGGAGCTTCAACTGTGGATGAGAAATAAGAGACAGAAGGAAAAACAATCTAGAAAGCCAATTCAAGCATATGTTTTTATTCCTTTACATTGTCCCATTTATATATTTTCCTGTCAGCCCCATCAATAGTGTGAAAGTTTTTCCTGCTTTGGGTCTTTCCATAAAGGAGATTAGGAATGTCAGTGATGGTGTAAACAGCTACAAATATGTGCGCGATTCTTTGGGAATGAAAAAGCAGGTTTTCTGAATTCCTCCTCTCCTTAGGATACCATCCCTCACTTTGCCCTACTGTGCCGCTGATTGCTGGACTCTAGAGTAAGCCACCAGTTGGGGCGCCTGGGTGGCGCAGTCGGTTAAGCGTCCGACTTCAGCCAGGTCACGATCTCGCGGTCCGTGAGTTCGAGCCCCGCGTCAGGCTCTGGGCTGATGGCTCAGAGCCTGGAGCCTGTTTCCGATTCTGTGTTTCCCTCTCTCTCTGCCCCTCCCCCGTTCATGCTCTGTCTCTCTCTGTCCCAAAAATAAATAAACGTTGAAAAAAAAATTAAAAAAAAAAAAAATAGAGTAAGCCACCAGAAGCGAGGGCTGGGGGCTGGCCTATGCCATGCTCCTGCTGTTCAAATTCTGTCTCAAGATCAGCCCTTCTGGATCTGGTCTCCCTGCGTGGGAACTATGTTTGTGAGTCCCAATGTGCATCGCACACTGGATTGTCCTGTGGTTCCAGATGCTCCACCCTCTGACCAAGGGCACCCAGGCCTTGCCCGTGCCATGTCTCCCCTACTCAATCCTCTCGGGGTCTCTTGACCCCCCCGGACTCCCCTTCTCATTTCCTACTTCTTGGTTACAACAGTGCTTCTCTTACATTTCCATGTGACGACCTCCTCCTTCAGAGACCTTCGAAGACATCCTTGCTGGTGATCAATTCATCTCTCTGTCGTAGTGAACTTTTTCGTGAAAACTTGTTCTCTTGTGAAACTGGACCTTCCTGGATTTTCTCATGTCTGTCCTAAATTTTCTGCCGCTTTTTTTTCTTGCATACCTGCCAGTCTCCCCTCCATCTTTACCCCATATGCAGGCAGCAGTCGCGGCAGATGCTTCTGTCTTGTGTACATCTGTCCATTGCTCTTGCCTTGGGAGAATCTGTCCCTTCTTGTCATTTCTGCGAACACTTTGCTCAGGCTGCAGCTCCCTTTCCCCCTAGAGCCCTAAGCAAGGATGCTGTCCATGCTAACGACTGGCTGTTTCCATCTGGTCCCCACCCTGTGATTTAATTCTGTGAGTTTGTCTAAAGGTAAACTCATATTTTTTTAAAGTTTGTTTATTTATTTTGAGAGAGAGAGAGAGAGAGAGAGAGAGAGAGAGAGAACAAACAGAGGAGGAGCAGAAAGAGAGGGGGACAGAGGATCCGAAGCAGGCTCTGTGCTGACAGCAAAGAGCCCAGTGTGGGGCTCAAACTCACGAACCGTGCGGTCATGACCTGAGCCGAAGTTGGACACTTAACCAACTGAGCCACCCAGACGCCCCTAAACTTACCACTTCTTAAATCACTTTTCTCCATGGCAGTAATCCTTATCATTGCCTGGGTTACAAGCCTTGGAGTCACTGTTGTATAATTTCTCTTCACACCTCTCCATATTTATTTTACAAAATGCTTTTTTATTCCATCTGCTGCTTTTTAAACTTGCTGTCATCACTGCTCTGTCTGGAATCCTCATTTATTCCCCAATTACCACAACTTTTCAGTTTCACTCTCTCCCAGTCCAAATTTCTCACACAGTCACCAGATCATCATCATCATCATCATTATTATTATTATTTAATAGTAATAATTGTTATTATGGTTATGTACTAACATCAACTCCATAGTCCACTGCCTTCTATTTTCTCTCCTCCCAACTTTCATTCCAACATGTTTCCATCTGTGTAATCATTAAACAGATTTCCTCACCTCACAGGTTCATATTCAGTCCTTCTCGTCTTTAGTTTTTCTTTAGTCAGCCAGTAAATTTATTTCTTATTGCTATAATGTGCTCATTTTCTTTCTGCATGGAACACTGCACACTTTCTTCTCCCTGGATGATAATGAGGATGATACGATAAATGCTCATGTTTTTGAGGGCCTCCTGGGTATAAGACGCTGAGCCATAGGTATTATCATATTATATCTTTCTATTTATCCCTCATGATGAGTCAATGAGTTACAGACAGTTATCATGTGTGCCTCACAGATGGGGAAATGGGAACCTGGAGAGCTAAGGCACGCACTGGAGCCAGTCGTTGGAGTTCTGTGTGTCAGATAAGCGATGCAGAAGAAGGAGCATAGGGTCGGGAGCCTGGCAGGTCTGAGCTTAATTCTAACTCGGTCAAATCCTAGTTGGGAGATTCAGGTGAGCGGTTGAGTCTTTCTGAGCCTGACTGTTCCTACTCATAAAATGAGGATTAAATGAGAAAATTTGTGTAAAGCCCTGCCATGGAGCGTTTACCAAATATCCTTCTGTTGTCTGTCTCTTCTGTCTCCTCTCTTCCATGGAAAAACCTTCCCCGCGCATCCCAAACCCTCCCCAATCCCGTTGCCTCTATATTTCTGTAGCAATGTTAATTTCTCCAGCTTAATTTATGACTCATTTATGGACTGCCTTCATTCAGGTATGTGGGTGCTGCCTTCCTGGTAGATTTTAAGAGCAGGGATCATGCATTTTAATTCTGCATTTCTAATGGTGCTCGACAGAGTGAGGAACACAGAAGAAAGGCTGAATTTTTACTTCCTAATTGACTTATCTGCTTAGGTCGCCATTTGATCTCGCGACGGCTGATGCAGTCACCCACGCAGGCCCTGTGCACCCTGGTCCCATCAGCCTGCCATTGTTAATGACGCTCTCCCTCTCATTTCTCTTCCCAACCGCAGCGTGTGCGTTCCGGTACAATGGGCTCTCCTTTGTCTACCTCATCTACCTCTTGCTCATCCCCCTGTTCTCGGAACCAACAAAAGCAACGATGCAAGGTAAGAGACGTGTGCTGTTCTCTGCTGAGGTCGGAATGCATTTCGCTGGGCTCCTGGGTCTGTCTTTATCTGATACGAGAGATGCTGTCTGTGCGTCGTGCTGGTCCCGTTGGGAGCGGGCGTCAAGGGTTTGAGCAGCTGCAAGTTGAGTAGCGTGGAGCTGGTTGGTGACACGTTTTTGTCATTTACAGAGCTATCCTCCCCCGCAAGTTCCCAAGTCGGTCTTCGTTGGTACGCTTGCAGTGTATCTGGAACATTCTGGCTGGTTAAGGTGAACTCAGGGTATTTTCAACAAAATAAGGCAGAGGGCGGAGCAACATTGGCACACGCTTTGCATATTGGATTGCTGGGGAGAATGTGGTGGCAAGTGGAAAGGAGGCAGAGCACCGTCTTAACATTTCCAAGCCACGTAGCAGGAGTACTGGGTAGGAGGCCGGGTCCCGGTCATGACTTGTTTATACATCAGCTGAGATCTCTTCCATATGCCTCAATCAAGTACTGGAAGAGAGTAATCTGAGTCTGGGGGAGGGTTTCTCAAGCATGTTGCTGCAAAATTTTGGATCCATTTCCCGTTGCCCTGCAAGAATCTGAAGGCATAGAAAAGAATGTGACGATTTCTTCTGAGGTTCAAATTAGGAGGCATGGTCTGCCTTCTGAGTTTCCATATTTGAAGTGCTTCCACAAGTATAAACATTAAACCACACCAGGTCAATTTTTCCAAACAATACCGTCAGAAATAAAGATTGTGCCCAGTGTCTCAGGTGAGATGGCTGTATATTAACATGGAAAAAAAAGGAAGTTGTGTTTGGCCCAACCAACAGGGTGGTGCGGGAAGGGCCATTGGTCACTGCCGCCAACTTATCAACTTGTGGTGAATCTTCAGGAAAAGAGGTGACGACTTGGTGTATGCAGTACAGCAAATAATGGCTCTGTCTTTCCTGAACTATTGCATTTATAATGCATATTATGATTCTTCATCTGAATAGTGAGGACTGCAGCCGCCATGTTGACTTTCCTGCCTGAGGGAGAACAGGAGTAACCACTCTTGTTTTTTTTTTTTAAGTTTATATATTTATTTTGAGACAGAGAGCACATGAGAGTGGGAGAGGGGCAGAGAGAGAGAGAGAGAGAGAGAGAGAGAGAAAGAGAAAGAGAATCTCTCACTGACAGCCCAGAGCCCGAAGTGGGGCTCGAACTGACAAACCGTGAGATCATGACCTAAACTGAAATCAAGAGTCAGATGCTTAACCGACTGAGCCACTCAGGTGCCCCCCTAAGTAAGGGCTCTTCGAAGTCACTTAAATCCTTACTACAACAAGTGACGAAGAGCTGGAGAAAAGTGAGTGCAAGCATAATCCTTATCAAACCTCAAGATCCCTTTTTCAGGGGACCACACCCACTCTTGCCTCATTCCTACAGTTCAACATAAACGAAGACATTGAAACAGAGTAATTTCTGGCCTCAGAACCAAGGTTATAACATACAGGCAACTTTTATTTCATGGCTTGGCCTGGAGCTCATGTTTTAAAAAAAAAAGGGGGGGGGTATCATACACATTCAGAAACAAGTGCTTTAAAAATGAGTACCTGGGGGCACCTGGCTGGCTCAGTCCGTTAAGCGTCTGACTTCGGGTCAGGTCATGATCTCCTGGTTTGTGAGTTCAAGCCCCACGTCGGGCTCTGTGCTGACAGCTCAGAGCCTGGAGCCTGCTTCTGATTCTGTGTCTCGCTCTCTCTCTGCCCTCCCCCGCTCGTACCCGTCTCTCTCTCTCTGTCTCTCAAAAATAAATAAACATTAAAAAAAATAAAAAAGGAGTACCTGTATATGTTCAATTAAATGATCTGTTACTTTTATATCAAGGTATCTCCTTATGGTTTTATCTGAAAATCAGGTAACTGGAATTTTCTCCCTTCATACTTAGATGACAGTGCCTGGCTTTGCCTTCTTCCCAACTAACCAGCCCTGCTTTCTGTCGAGTTGCCTCAGTCTCTGCAGGGGTGGTCGTGCGACTATTTCAGAAGCGCGGGACAATCGGCCCAATGTTTCTACCTGGTGCACCAGGGACTGACACTGTCAGGAGGTGAAGCATGAAATCAAAAGCAAAAAGCCGTTCTTCTCTGTGTAAAGAAATATCCCGAATTCACAAAATGTTGCAAGGTCGGTGCCCAGGCAAAGCATGATCAGCACGCACGTCTGCTGGTGCTGCTCCTGATGGGAGAGAGGGAGGCACTGGGCTTGAAACGGAAACCCACAGGCATCTGTGCAGTTCGTATAGGGAAGCACTGTTGTGAGTACTTTCCTCTTTCCTGCACTTCAGGACCAAGGAGCTAAGACACAGGACTGATATTCAGATACAGTAACCTCACTTATTTATTTGCTTGTTTGTTTATGGAGACACAGAGGGTCTCTAGGCGAGGATACCCCACATATTTTTTTCTGAACATGCAGGGCTCACAATCCAGACATTTCTAAAGTCTGTGTTTGGAGATACGCACACTGGGCATTTCTGGCAGTGCGTGGTCCGGGACCTGCAAGCCGACGTGGCATAGACACAAGCAGTGGTGGGTCTGGCAGAGTGACCACGGTGTGGTTTTTCAGGAAGAGTCAGGCTCTGACACGCTCGGACCTCCAAATTCGCGTTCACCTACGTTTCTCATGAATCGGTAGGAGAGCACGTTGTCAAACTGAAAGAACTGTCAGCAGCCTCTGTGCTGCCTGCTCGCAGACTGTCTGCCTGAAGCCACAAGTGAGTTTGGATTGCCCCCGGAGCCAAAGGCGTCTGTGCGCATTGCAGGGACCACGTAATGACGTGGACCCCCTAGACTGGAAGCATGGTGCTGACGTGTAAAAGTTACTGCGTGACCCCGTGCCCTGCATTTGGTCTGTTGGATTTCTTTCACTCTTGTGTGATTATGTTTCCTCTAAGTGTATCCATAGAGGGACAAGCAGGTGGAGAGTTTCAGGGTTGCAGCTTGGAGGGTGTTTCTGTGGCTTAGTTCCCGGCCTCACGATTTCGTGGGTTTGAGCCCCGCATCAGGCATCAGGCTCTGTGCTGACGGTGCGAAGCCTGCTTGGGATTCTCTCCCCCTCTCTCTGCCCCTCCCCTGGTCACACTGTCTCTATCTCTCTTAAATAAATAAACTTAAAAAACTGTAAAAAAAAAAAAAAAGTCAACAGGGGTGTCTGGGTGGCTTGGTGGGTTAAGCGTCTGATTCTTGAGTTCAGCTCAGGTCATGATCTCGTGGTTTGTGAGTTTGAGCCCACATCGGTTTTGCGTTGACTGCTTGGAGCTTGCTTGGGATTCTCTCTCTCCCTCTCTCTACCCTCTCCTGCTCGTGCTTGCTCGTTCTCTCTCTCTCTCAAAATAAATAAATAAACTTAAAAAAAAAAGAGCTAACAGAGGCTGGAGGACTATAGTCATTAGAAGATTATATAATTACATTATTGCAATATTGTGATGGGACTGGATTAGACTACAGTGGGGGGGAGTCAGGGGTGTCATGAGCAGAACTGGGACACAAGAGCCACCTGAGTGTCACTAGAACCACAGGAGGCAGTCAGGGGACCGATCTGTGCGGACAGGCATGCCTGGCACTCTTACTAATAAGAGTCATGTGAGGCAAATGAGACAGTTCCATGTTCGTGGTCAGTGAACTACCCATAGCTTTTCAACTGTCAGGAGGGGTGGTGGAGGGGATCTTTCCCTTCAGTCTGTTTTCCACCAGACAAAACATCCCTAGTTACTTAAGAGTGATTTTTCCACTGCTCCATCCAGGTGGACTTGAGCTGGAGGCGCTTCCTCCTGTCAGAATCCCTCCTAAACTGCCATGTGCAGGAAGCTGAGGTGTAAGTTTGGAATCGCCTCTGAGGACTAGGCACCCCATTTCCCAGCTGTCAGGAGGCCTTGGAATTTCTCCCTGGGAGTTGATGTCTGAAGGGAGCTCTCTCTCCCCTCCAATTCCCCCCTCTCTCGCTTTCTCTCTCTCTCTCTCTCTCTCTCTCTCTCTCTCTCTCTCTCTCACACACACATACACACACACACACACATGGGTGTGCACACTCAGGCCATGGAGGACAGGCACCTTTCATCTGCCATAGGTCAGCGTGCAATTACTTACCTCAACAAGACCCTCACCCCTCTTCTTGCCCTTCGGATTTCCCAGGCAAGTCATATTTCAGAGCCGCTCCAGGCCCTGGAGCTCACAGGGGTGTCTCTGGGAAGCCACTCTCACTAGGCTTGAAAATCTTTCTAAGATAGTTAATTCTCTCGGCTTCTCCACCATTCTGTTTCATATCCTCTTCGGGGGAAGGAACCACGGGTTGAGAACAAATGTCCTTTGCCATAGCATTCATTGGAAAGTGAGGGAGGCTTGGTTCCTCAGCTCTTTTAGGGTTGCCTCTGAAACTGAGCCAGAGTCCCATTTTAATGCATTTATTATCTGAGTCTCTTTCCCTTCTGACATGTAAACTTCAAGATGGGAAGGATTTTGCTGTTTTGTTTACTCCTGTATTTCCAGGTCACAGAAACAATGTCTGGTGTATAGTAAGGCAGTCAGTAAATATTTATGGAATGAATGAATGAGTGAATTTATACTCACACTTTCTCATTTTAGAAGCATTTATAAACATAGCTATGGTCTTATGCTTACCTCAGTATCCATAATAGCAAACATCATAGAACAGTTTATTGTAGATTTTCATCCCTCGGAGACAGAAGCTTAGGGTACAATGGGCCATGGGATTTTGCTATTTCAGACTTAATTGGGGTCAGAAGATCATGAGTAATTTAGTAAATGAAGATGTTTTATGCTCTTATAGGCATTTTATTTAAGCATATAATACTGTAGGAAGGAAAAGAAATCTTTTTCTGCTGTTTCCCTAACGGTGTGCTTTGCATTGGGATTGAGACTGCACTCCATTAAACACTAATATATAATTAGCTTCAAGTGGCTCATACATTTGAAGTCAGGGAGATACTAAGTTTTTTTTTAAGTTTATGT